TTGTGAAAGCACGCACAACGTGCTCTTACATGGAGCTGAGAAAATTTTTCCTCCTAAGGATACTAAAAACTCCCCGGCTTCAGGTAACGCAAGCACTAAACATTTATCGACTACCGCTGCCGTCGGCGATATTCAAAGCCAGTAGTCAACTAAAGGCCTCCTGCCAGTTGCATCACTCGCCGTCTCTTCGAATGCGACGATTACTAATGCCCTAGCTCTTTGCGATAGTGCTTCCACGCACTCATGGGTATCCGCGGATCTCGTAAAACGTCTCCATTTGGTTGGCACTCCCGTTAACCTCACCATAAATGGATTCAATTCCACGAGCTTGATGAAAATTCATCAAGTAAGTTTTCAAGTTTCCGCCGAAACGAATAATAGTGAATTTTCGTTTTCGTTTCGCGCTTATGTTAAGGATCATATTCTCATTGGATTGGATAGCATAAGTATTCCTGAATTACATGAAAAATACTCGCAGTTGGCTCCGATAAAACTATACATTATAAGTATGAGGAAGTCGAAATAATTATTGGACAGGATTTCTACCATGCCAACCGTTGAGTACCTTCTGGGGGAGGACTCTATTTCACCGTGCGCCGTAAGCCTTCCGATAGGTTGGGTTTTAAGTGGCCCGTTACCGCCGTCCTTTAAGTCGAACTCGTCTTGCTTTAAGTGTGTTGTGTTGTCGAAGACATGTCTCTTGTGGACCAAATTAAAACTTGATATGAGTTGGAGTCATATGGAGTCCTTAAGCAAGTGGATGCCCGTTCCACCACCGACAAACGCGCTCTGTCCGTTTTGAAAAATGACACCTTTCACAATGGTGAGAAGTACATTGTACCAATACTTTAGAACGATAAAGAAAGTACTTTACCGAATAACTATTTTTCCTCCCTAGCTCAATTAAAGTCTTTGGAAAGGAGGCTAGATAAGGGTCCGTCGCTCCGTGGAAAATACGCCGAAACAACTAGAGAAACTATACAAAAAAAAAGATATGTCATAACCTTTAAGGCACACTTCCCAAACCACGAGCCGATCTGATCTTGAGTGGTATCTCCCGCATCACCCGGTGTTGAACCCGAATAAACCCGGTAAGCTGCGCCGAGTCCTCAATGGGGCATCGAAGTGTCATGGCGCTTCCTTGAACAAATCTCTGTTGGTTGGCCCGGATCTCCTTCAAAAGCTCACTTTTGTACTTTTAAGATTCCATCAGCATAAATACGCCGTTTCAGCTGACATCGAAGGGATTTTTTTACAGGTTGGAGTCCGTGAAGAAGATCAACCTTCTCTTAGTTTTTTTTGTGGCGGGAGGACCCCACATCAAGTGTGGTAGTTCACCAATAAACGCGTCACATTTTTGGTGCTCGTGACTCGCCGACTAGTGCGAATTTTGCTTTGCAGAAGACTGCATCGGATAATCAAGCTGAGTACCCCAAAGCTGCTTTGGCTGTTGTCCAGAAATTTTATATGGATGATTATCTGGATTCTTTTCAAAACAGGGATGACGCCTTGAAATTAGGTAGGGATTTAGTCTCGTTGCTTAAACTAGGTGGGTTTTATCTGAAAAAAATTGTCAGCAACGTGCCCGATGTAACAACCGCTCTTGGTCCGGACAACCGAGAGTCCAATTCCTCTGTTAAAGATATTTGTACGAGTCCAGACCAGTCGTTGCATGTTCTCGGTCTTAAGTGCGATCACGTAAAAGATACCTTAGTCGTTAGTAGATCGTCCACTAGACAAAGCAATCACCCAGCGTACCGTGTTGAGTTTTGTTTCCTCTGTTTTTGATCCAAATGGATTAGTGGCTCCGTATACCGTGAAGGCTCGCCTTCTCTTAAAAGATATCTGGCGAATCAGTGGTCAAAAATGGGACGATGATCTCCCACAGGAAATCAAAAAGCAGTTCTTTGAGTGGCACTCAGGTCTGCATTTGTTAGGTTCTCTGACAATACCTCGTAGCTATTTCACTGACCCTTTCGACCGAATAGAACTTCACATGTTCGGTGATAGTTCACAGGATGTTTTCTGTGCCGTCGCTTTCCTTCGTGCGCAACTTGCTAGCTCGCATCAGACCGAATTAGCCTTTGTGTTAGGCAAAGCCCGCGTTGCGCCTATGAAAGCGCTTTCTATTCCAAAGTTGGAGCTTCAAGCAGCTCTTCTTGCAACCCGCTTAAAAGAAGAATATTTGAAAGATCTGACTTTCATAGATACGGATATTTTCATGTGGACAGATAGTACCACTGTTCTTCAGTGGCTCAATTCCTGTAATAAACTACCCGTTTTTGTTGGTAACCGCACTGGTGAAATTCTGGAGTCTACCACCACTGATCAGTGGCATAACATACTTAGCGGTGATAACCCAGCTGATACCGGTACACGAGGGATTTCTTCTGAAGTCTTCAAGAAAAGCAGCTGGGTTAATGGCCCTAGTATACTGAGGACGACTGATTGGCCGTTCAAGCCCGATACAAGGGTTATTGATAAAATAAGACTCAAAGGACCATCATGTAATATCGACATTTGTCTGGAAAATTTGTCAAATTTTGTTTTCGATGTTTTGACAGAAAAAAATCTTCCCTTCGGAAAATGGGAGAGATTCAATTCAATTGTAAAATACAAACGCACAGTAGCATTTTTGTTAAGATGGCTGCCATCCCATAAACATTATTGGTCGAGTGTAATAGAAATTACCGACCTGTGTGAAATGGACATTGCTGAACAGAAGCTCATTTACCTGTCCCAGAGTGAGACATTCCCTGGCGAGCTAAAACTTTTAAGGTCCGGTAAAGTTATCAAGAGGAATAGACTGATCGCCAAGTATTCGCCGTTCATTGGACCAGCTGGCATCCTTCGCTCGACTGGGCGCATCAGCCGCTTGGTTGATTCCGATTTCGACAACAAGCATCCGATTATACTTGATGCACGTCATGCGATTGTTCGGTTATTGGTTAAACACTTGCACGTTAGGAATTTCCATCAAGGCTTGGATTACATGCGTGCGGTGGTTAATTTGAAATACGTTGTGTTAAATTTGCGATGGTTGCTGCGGAACATTGAAAATACTTGCGTTGCGTGCCGAAAACGCAAAGCGCAAACCGTAACTCGTATTATGGCTGATCTGCCCATTGAAAGGCTGGGTTACAAGCAACCTCCTTTCTCTAACACAGGTGTCGACTACTTTGGGCCGTTCCTAGTTCCAATCCGGAGAAGTACGGAAAAGAGGTGGGGTTTTTTTCTTCACCTGTCTCACCACTAGAGCGGTGCACATTGAAGTGGTCCCCTCGCTCGACACAAGCTCTTGTGTGATGGGCGTGGAGAGGTTTATTGCACGTCGCGGTACTCCGACTACCATCATGTCCGACAACGGTACGAACTTTTTTGGTGCTCAGAAAGAGCTCCTAGCTTGCGTTGAAAGTTGGAACAAGCTCGCGCCCGCTGTTTTTGTCCAGAAAGGGATCAGCTGGAAATTCAGTCCACCCAGCGCACCGCACCATGGTGGCTCCTGGTAGCGATTAGTTCGGAGTGTCAAGCGTGTATTGTATGACATCTTAGGCAACAGAAGAGTAACTGAGGAGGTTCTAAGAACCACGCTGTGCCTTGTTGAGCAATCACTCAACGCCAGACCGATAACAGCCGTTAGTTCCGATCTGCTAGATCTAGAGGCGTTGAACCCGAATCATTTTATCCTTGGTCAATACGCAGCGAGTTTTCCGTCGCTAAGTTTCGAAGAAAGCTTCGACCATAAGAAGCGGTTCGCCAGATCGCAATCATACGCTAACGCAATATGGACACGGTGGATGCGGGAATACGTTCCTTCCCTCAATAGGAGGGCAAAGTGGCACAACCAGTCAGACGTTAAGTTGAAAACCGGCGACTTGATTTGGGTCATAGAGCCTGACACTCCACGTGGACATTATCCACTCGCACCTATCCTAAGACTGCACTATGGCAAGGACGGATGCGCGAGATCCGCCGACATAAAGACCGTTACGAGCGAATTGACCCGCTCGACCGTAAAGCTCGCTCCCGTTCTTCCTTGTTTAGGGGTGGAGGATGTTGCAGCGCAAATGTAAGCGAGAGTATAAATGCATGAGAGTATAAATGCGAGAGTATAAATGCATAAAATTGAGCCAAAATGTAACAACCATAAGCACAGTTGGCCGAGTGGCCTAAGCTAACGTACCGACAGTTGACGTAGGTTCGAGTCCCACACCTGCCCATGTATTAATATACTAAAAAAAGGGGGTTATATCCTATTTTTTCTGTTTTTTATTCTAATTCGCTAAAAAAAAGAGCAATTTGTCTCAAGGACATTACCGACCGGTTCTTGTGGCTAGCTTGCGCCAATTTGTTATTGAAGCTGATTATTGGTGAGTTTATGAACTCGTTACAAAGCAAATTTTAGGATGAATTTATCAATACTGCCGTTGAATTTTGTATTACCGAGAATACAAATTTATTGTTGTTTTTTCGGTTAAATTCATCCTACGGAGATTAGCGAGCACAGCATCTTTGAAAAAATTTCTGTCAAGTCATCTTTTTTGCTTACAAGCTTATGCACTACCTTACCCCAGACAGTTTTTTCAGCTTGACATATAAACTTGACGTAAAATTTGAGCTTAAAAGATAAATTTGAAGTAAAATTAGAAGTTGAAAGATGAAAAAATTGGCGTTTGAGCACAAATTAGATGAGGCTTTGATTTGGAGGATTTAATATTTTGTTATTTTTAACTGCCAGTGATTTAAAGTTTCCCTGCTAATAAAACGAACTCCAACTTCCAATTGATAAAAAAAACTCTAATGAGTATAATGTAAACAACTTAAACGACTTATCATACCAGCCCCACGCCCCCCCCCCCAAAGGGAGGGATACAAAAACGCGTAGAACAATTAAGATCATTCAGGTTTGCATTCTTGATGTTCGCCAACTTATCTCTGGCTCGTCCAATTTATCTCAGTTGTTCAAAATAGTAGTCATTATTGTTGATTATCATCTTCAGGTCACAGATTCTGTTGATACAAACAACAACAACAACAACAACAACAACAACAATGGCAATGACAACAATGGTAATGACAACAATGCCGGGCGTAAGAAGGTCACTTTGCGAGGTGCCCTGGAGCAGTTCTTGGCTGACGACGACTACTGGCGAAGTGGCGGCGGACCCCAGACAGACATAGGACACAACTGGCTAGGAGTTGTCACTATTCTCTGCTTTGCCATCATCATACTAGACGGAGTGATTTATCTGTTTTTTAATTATTAACACGTTTGTTTATTGGACATTCTAATTTTTTTTAATTTTAACTCCAACCAAGCTAAAAAGCTAAAACTCAATCCAAATAATTGTCCGAAGTTTTGCAGTTGCCTATTTGTATCGGTGTTGATTTTTTTCTCTGAAAAGTTGTCAGATCATTCTTGAATCAGTTTTTTTTTGGTTGAAGAAATGGCCTTGAAGTTGTTAAGAAATAGATGTCTTATTTTTCTTGCTCTTTTGACAGTTCAAGTGCATTTTTGAAAGTTCGAATGCAACATCATTGCCAATTTACGGTCTGAAGGTCCAGAACGCTTTCAGAAATTTGAAAACATGTTAAAAACCATCCGAATCGTAGCCCAACATATCAGTTCGCTTTTGTTAAAAGCAGAGTTAAAGGTTTGCGCCTGCAAATGCTTATACTGGTTCCAACATTTAAAAGGATTAATGATACTACAAATTGCACTAATGCATCAAAATTTTAAGACAATGTTTTTTTTTGTGATTAAGTCAGTGTCTTTACTCGGTTCTTAGCCTTTTTTGCCGTGTAAAACCATTTTATTGATTTTTTGACGGTAACGACGCGTAACCGTCGTAACCGAGAAAAAAAGTTTCTGATAAAAGGTAAAAATAAAATCAGATAGAGTTTTGCCCCAGCCTGATGTTAACGGATTTACATCAGTTGATTGATTAATTGATCAATGTTTTTTCCTAAATTGATAAAGAACGGTCTGATTTAAACAATCGATTATTTTTTTTTGATAATTTTTACGTCAAAAAAACGAGCTTCATTTATTGACAGCTTGGAAAAAAACAAGAAAGAACAAGAATAATAAAATTGTAAATTTTGTCGTTAACCTCTCAAAAAATCCAGAAATATTAATAGTAATCTATTATATTAAAAGTTATTAGGACTATAATCCACTTTTATTGGATGATAATCAATTATATTTATATTCTTCAAGCTGACTAAAAACAAAGTTGATCTCGATGTTGAGAACCCTTTATCAGATTTTTTTAATTCAAATCAAGACTGAAAAACAATCAATATGGTACCCCCATGCGATATTTTTTGAACCGGTGCGTACCTAGAGAGCCGCATTACCGAATAGCTGAAAAACAACCAAAAGTGTCTTGCTAATGATTTTAGCAACAAAACAAAGTTCGCCACAAAATTTGATGCTTAACTTTATTCGAACGGTTAAATTAACTGTTTTGGAACTTAACTAACAAAAAAATCGTTTTTATGCAATTGTTTTTATGAAGTTAGATAGCAAAAAAATGCGACTACTTTGATAGGCCCTATGGTTTTTGGCTATCTGGGAATAATTTTTTTTTCGGCTATCCAGGAACAAATTTTTTTTGGCTTTCCAATAACAAATTATCCGGAGACAATTTTTTTTGGCTATCCAGTGAATGCTTAAAAGAGAGCAATATTGAATAATTGTCTTGGGGAGCAGGGGAGCAGGGGGGCAGACGAGGGGAGCAGGCGCTGAAAAACGGTCAAAACTTCATTTTTTCCTAATTTTTTCCAAACTTTTGCCTCTGTCACAAAAGGTTCGCCAAAAACAGGTGTTTTACAGCGTTTCTGACCAGCACATGTTTAGTCGGTCCAAAAATGGTCAATATAAATTTCGATTTTTTTAATCAATCTCCAATTAAACATCCTCCTTTCCAAAGACGTTTAGGGAGGAGAATATTAACATGCATCTGAGATCGAATTTTTAGCCAATCATAATAGAGCATATTACACTCAGCGCTCAGCAAAATTATTTTAATTTGAACACTGTGGTGGATGAGTTTAACTTCGTATATTTGGCGAGGGGATGTTAACTTGATAAGGAATCTTTTTGCCCATCTTATAATTTTTGTATTTTGGGGGTCTATAATTTGCTTGGGGTGGGAGCCTTTTTGAAATGGTATATGATATAAGAAATTATTATTTTCACCAATAAGTTTTGGCGTGGTGCGAATCGAACTTTTTTAGCTATTGGGGATCCAGACAGTGAACTTAATAGGTAATTATGAGATACTGTGAAATAAACAAAGCAGGCGCAAGGCACCCAATTAGAAGAAAACTGTTAGCCGAATATTGAATCACTACTAATAACGGCAGTTAGTTTTATATTCGTTTGACTTGTGGGCGAGCCAGGAGTGAAATAATCGTTTAACGTCTAATTCATTGATTTTCCCGCCAAAATGCCTCAATTTTGTTAGTTTTGCTCCTTATTAAGTTCACTGTCTAGATGAGACCCGTCCCCTTTGTCATTCACTAACTTCTCTCAAATCTTAAGTTAACATCAAATTGAGTTGATTTTCAGATTCAGTAATTACCCAAACTAATTTGTCTAATCGCGAGGTTAAGATTCATGCAATCATGACGAGGAGCAAGAAGCATTTTGTTGGTTATAAATTTGAATCAGTCCTTTTCAGATCTGGACACTTGCCATCTTCATTCTGAATTGTGACCTATTGAATGATGGAGTGATCCGTTTCCTGGAGGACAGTCTCGGGATGCCCTATCTACTAACTGCCACCAATGGCATGTCCATCATTGTCTGTTTAGTCACGTTCGGCTATCTGCCCTGTGCTGCAGTGACCACGTGGTACATGTTCAACAAAACATTCAGAGTGGTAAGACATTTTCAAAGTAATTTCATAGGGTTCTTACTAAAAATAAATAAAGCTTGGGGGGGGGGGTCTTTTCTGTCATACGGCCTTAAACCGTTCGTTTTGATATTTGAAAAAACCGATGATAACGCTTAAATCTATTAGTTGGAATTATTTATTTCTAACGAAAAAAAAATTTAACTTTGAATAAAAAAGAGACACTCAATCAACAATTTGGTTAACTTTGAGCTGTATAACAGAAAATAACGAAGTTTGATTTTAAACATTACACTTTAACGAATGGTTTACAAGCTAAAAAAAAAGTGTTTCTTTTTTCACCGTTATTCAATCAGAGTAGTTCGGTAATTGAAGACAAAATCCCAGTCGAAATAGATGCCGTATATTAGACTAAGAGTTTGTACGGATAATACTTTATATACACTCAAACTTTCAAACCTATTGTATTTCAAAAACTTGTTTTTTGCTCATTTTTTCTTTTATCAGAAGGCTTAAACTCAAACTGAATTTTCAAAAGTTTCAATTTATCTTTTGATTGAAATTTTGGCTGAACAATTTTTTGTTCAAATCAACTCCCTGTGAACTTTCTTTTTTCTTGTTTTCTTTTCAGTCTGTGATTGTGGGCGTGGCTGTGACGTCATTGAATCTTATCTTCTGTTTCATCTGCTCGGGACAGCTGGACGATGTTAGATTCATTAATTGAAATTCTAACTATAACTAAGTATTTATTTTGGTACAAGTGTGATAAAGGAACCCAAGGAATAACGGTTCCCTGATGTTAAAAGATTAACACAAAATTGTTCAATTTAGTGCTTTCGATGACCTCAATTAAAATATGGAATTTATTTGCGCGAAGGAGGCAGGTTAGTTACGTTTGAGAAAAAGATTTACAACGACCAACCGGTGCATTTTGATTAGTTAATTGCTGCATTGGTCTAATATTAATGGGACCCGTCTCTCACATTTGCATTTTACCGAGAGATCTCTATCACACTTGTACCTTTTTTTGCGTGCTAAAGAGCGAGGTGTCTTTTTGAGATTTTCTTCTCTTTGTCAATTAAGTAATTCGCCAAATTATGAAAAAAAGCCTGAAAAACTGTGGATGGTATCATCAAAAAAAACAATGGCTAGCTTTGTGAAAAAAATTGCAGCAACCACTATACGAAATGGAAGTGTTTGAGGCATGTTGTGAATTATTTTCAAAGTTTTTTGAAAGTTTTGTCGACATTTTAATGTTCACTCCCAGAACATTATAAAGACCCTATTTTGACAAAATTTCTGCGCTGCAGGCAAACTTTAGAGAAAAAAAACAGGTCAAAAATGCAGTTTTTGGGCGCTTTTGGAAAAATTGCCGTACAATCGGGTTTTTTCGGCGCGCGCTCTGCTTCAAAATTACTATTTATTGGCGCCTTTAAGAACACTTAAGGGCTGGTCGGCCAAAATTGAATTTCATAAAATAATACCCATAAATAGGCTTCGGTTGATGAGCGGATCATATCCCTGAAAAGTGGTGTCGGAGCCCCCCCCCCCCCCCAAAAAAAAAGTTCGCCCTTGAAGCCAAGCACTGTTACTAAGTCAGAGAACTGAATTAGATATACATTAACCTCACATTTTGTAATTTAATCACGAAACTCCGCAGAATTAAGAAAATGGTTTGAGCTCAAAAATACTAAGAACGATGGAATCTAAAAATGGAATCGAACGAACAATGATTTAAAACAACGCGCAAAATAACGCGAATTGAGTGAGAAATCATGTTAAGGCTACTTCAGTCTTGTGTCGAGAACCATGTTGGCTTACTAAATTATCTTGAAATTGTAGAAATCATGATTTATCCTTTTGCGCTCATTGCATAAATTTAGTCAGTTATAACTATATGATGTAACTAAGCTCTAATGGTACGCTTCTAAGTTATTTGGGTCAACCGGTTAAAGAAACTAACGTTTAAACGTTCTAAAAGATTTCATCATTTATCATCTTCAAACCATTTGTCATTAATTTTTTGTCATTATTTTTTTTGTAATTTGTGGCCATCTTTTGTGATGCACTAACTGGCCATCTTTACTCAGCTGGCCATTGTTTGCGATGCAAACTTAATAGTTTTTTTATCGATTGTCCATTCTTCAAAAATTAATGCGAACCCCATACACAAAAATAATTATCATACAAATCTCAGCACGAAAAATGCTTTGCATGAAAGTGTAATTCCATGCATGGTGTCTAAGGGGAAATGTGTATCATTCATGCAATTTCCAGTTGTAAAACAAAAAATGATAGCAAAACAAATTTAAAGTAAGAACTAAAGTTTTGTGAAATTTATCAAATATGCAAATAATTTATCAGCGTCGAACTCAGATGTTTAATTGATCTGTAATCCGTTACAACAATCCAATTAAAATTTGAAAGACAATAAAATAAATTGTACCCACTTTAAAAAAAGTGAGGAAAAAAAAGCCAGGGGTTTTCTTTTCAGACCAATTTTACAACCGTTGACTGCTTATGAGCATCGATCCTGAAATCTTCAGATTGCCAAGCGAGTACGCTTGTCAGCCTAACTTGGGTGTGCTCAATTATAGTTAAAAAATTCAATGCGCAAATTACTAAATTATCCTGCACTCATATGTTCCAAACTGAATTGCGGCAAACTAAATGGTCATTTTAGATCGGATCAAACCTTAGCTTTTATTAATCGATATTGATAGTATAAATTGGTAATTTGTCAAGCTTCTATTAAAATTATTTGAGACCAGCAAAGGGACCAGTCTAAAATTTTTGAGACTAGCTAAGGGGCCGTCGGAACAATCTGGGTTTTACGCTAATAAAGGTGCAGTCTTGTTATTCATTATATTTTGTGCATGAAATGTCTGAAAAGAGATACTTTTGAGGACATTGCGGCGGATTCGAGCGCAAAAGTGTCGAATTTTGGCCATAAACAGGTTAAGTTTTCTAGGATTTCTATTGCGATGCGAGAGATGGAAGTAATTTTAGTAACGCACAGTTTTTTTATTCCTTTTATAATTGCTGAGAATTATAATTGCTTTGAGAATGTTTTCCAAATAATTTTTGCTTTCTGTATGATTTTTTATTAAGTGTTTAGAAGTTTTTTTCCAAAACTGAAATGGTAACATAACTGATTACTAACTGTTTTAGTTGAATGAACGTACATTTTTCAGGTATGGAAAATTATACAATCACTCAACTAAAACAGTTAGTATTCAATTATATTGTCTTTTCAGTGTTGCTTTTGATCAAATTTTGAAAAAAAAAACTTACAATCACTTAAAAATTTATTATAATTCTGCCAAAAAGCAACAACTGTTCCAAAAAATATAATCAAAAACAATTATTCTCACTTTTTTGTGATAAAAAATTAATATAATTGATTATAATCAATTAAAGTTGGCTTGAATCGATAATGATTGTAAAAGCCCGGAATTGAAAAAGTTGAGTGTTACTTATTATTACTTCTTTCATTCTCATCGCAATAAAAAGCCTAGAAAACGCAACCCGTTTATGGCCAAAACCCGACAAATTCGGGTTTATTATATAGTTTTCATATATTTTTTCTGAGTAATATGGAAGTGCATGATAATATTTTGTCATATATGGAAAATATAAGAATAGAATTTTTGGTCAACCCTGAAGATCCGATCTCATCAGATTCCGTAGTGTTCAAGAGACACTTCTGAAATTTATAACAGTTGTTGTTTGTAATTTCAGATTTTGCATTCAGAAGTAAGTTGAGTCAAATGGTCAACCAAGCCTTGTAGTTTTAGAACCTAGCTTCAATTAGCCTGTAGCTGAATTATGTCGTCTATCGTACAAATTTGTTCATAACACTGATTAAAATTGATCATACAATCGTTAAAGCATATTTCAATCACTCAGATTACCTTAATGAAGAAATATTGAACACTAAATTAAAAACACTAATTACAAAAATCCGGGTTATAGATAGTTGGTTTTTGAGAACCCCGGCATGCCAGAAACTTAAAGAGCCCAGCAGCCATCCTGAAACCCTTTCAGAAAGAAATGTATTTTTGAGAAACTTTGAAATGCGTTTTCAAACTACAGTTCTTATAATAGCTAATCAACGGATAAGCTGAAGTGTAGATTTATTTTCAACAGAAGGTGTGAATCTTAGGCGAATGAGAGGGTCCAAAATGGCCTACAAGCCTCGTTTGAGAAGTTTTCCGTGGAAGGTGTGGGCGGCTCCGATGATGACCTCTTGTGGAATTTCGTGCAACTCAAGGTATCCCTTCTCTTATTTTGTCTAAATACTTTGAAATACCCTTGTTACCAGCCTATTTTCTTATAATCCATAGATTATGTATAGTGGCTATAATTTTATTAATTTACTTTTTAATTATGATTTTGGGAGTTGGAACAAAATTGTATATAAATTTGAGCTCGAATAAATTGTAACTATTCCTAAAGCAAATCAACCAGAGCTAAAGACCAGATATAAATTTAAAAATTTTGAAATGAAAGAGGATTTTTGACGTGATGATGATCTCTGGTTCAAAAAAATTTTTTCATACAAACTTTTAAATGAAAATACCATTCAAAATTTGTATTCAGCAAAAAATTTGAAAAATTCACTCTGTTTAAAGCAACAATGGCGTGAGATATTTGCTTCTCAAACTAATTATCTTTTCTTCTTAGATTATAAATTATTTTCTCTTCGCCCAGCAAAAATTTAGTATTTCTCTGATAGCTAATGAGGTCATATTACCTTAAAAACAATTCAAGCAAAGTTGTGAAATAGTATAAAATTCACGTTAGATTGTAGCTCCGGTCAGCAAAACTACAATGTTCAACAGGAATTTTTTTTTGGGAAATTGTTTTTTGTTTCGACTATTTCGGATACCAGAAATGTTAAAGCACACAAGCCCAGTCTTTCTAACCCCTTTTTAATTGTGCTTGCAGTGGGACTGTTGCGGGGTGGACTCCTACTCGGACTGGAGAAGTTCCAACTGGCTCCGCAACACCAACACCCGCGTCATCACTCTCACCTACAACACCACACGGGTAGGAAACATACAACTCCAGTTTCCAGCTTCCAGTTAATTCTTTCCTCGTTTTGATATCTTGCAATAAATAATAAATTCACTTTTTGTTGATCTTTTTTCAACGTTCTTTTTAACTGTTTTTTTTATTTATTTACAACAATTAAAAATTTTCCAGGTTTCTCTTTGGGGGCCAGTAAATCTATGAACCTCATTGAACTTTTTGTTTGTGCGCGTAATAAAGATAAGAATTCAGCATTTGAAAAACCAGAATCAAATCGACAAAAATAAGTTCGAAAGTGCGCCAAATCTTTCAGCGAGATACTACTCTCGAAAAAATGTCTTCCCGCGATATACTGTGTACTTTTACAAATATTTAGTGCTTAGTTTGTTTATTGTTTTTGAAATGCGTTGCTATTACCACTAAGAAAGAAAGAAAGAAATTAAGTAAGGAAGTAAGTAAGTAAGTAAGTAAGTAAGTAAGAAAGTAAGTAAGTAAGTAAGTAAGTAAGTAAGTAAGTAAGTAAGTAAGTAAGAAAGAAAGAAAGAAAGAAAGAAAGAAAGAAAGAAAGAAGGAAAGAAAGAAAGAAAGAAAGAAAGAAAGAAAGAAAGAAAGAAGGAGAGAAAGAAAGGAAGAAAGAAAGAAAGAAAGAAAGAAAGAAAGAAAAAACGTTTTTCTCCGATCAATCATAACATATATTGAGCAATTCATTGCTGGTAGTCAATAGAAATGAGACTCACTAAGTAGAAATATTCGCACAAACTAAAACATCAAGGACTAATAGATCAAGTTTTTCATGTTCCTTCGTTTCCATAAAGGAACCTGCAAAAACTAACATGCAGTTAAACCACAAACGCAATTCAAAAATGTTCAGGATTAAAAATCATTTATTTAACGACTTATGATTAAATAACGGAACATTTGTTGCGGGGGATTTTTTTTACTCCTGACTTTTAACTAGGAATTCTCTCCAGACTTTTAAATAGGAATTTTTGGATGCTAATTTTTAACACACTCCAAAAACAAAACGAAAAAACAGTGCCCAAAGTAAAAATTAAAACTTATCTGCTGTTTTAAAAATTAAAACTTTTCTGCTGTTTTAATTTTTGTTGAAATTGAATTCTGGAAAAAAATGAATTCTGCAGTACTTTAATCACCAAAAATCAAAATGGGATATTTAACGCGCAATAGATTTTATCCTGTTAATATATAAGTGGCAAATGAAAAGATTTCAAACTGAACTGAAACAAGCAAATACTAATTGTAATACGTCATAAAACTATCGTTTCTTACGTAAGTTGTAGAAAGATAAAATAAGGACAAGAAAGTTTAAAAATAGTCAAAAAAATTTCATTTCTTTCTAAAAATATTTTATTATTCCAGACTTCGCCCTGATACAAGCAATTTCGTTGATGATTACAAACAAATAGATTTTACAAAATTAACGATTCACAAAGTGCTCTTTTTAAAAAAAAATTTCATAAGAAAAAAATATCATTAATTAAACTTAAAATGAAGTAATTTTGAAACCTAAGTGGCCAATGAAAATAATTCAAACTCCACTAAGCAAGCAATAGCGTGTAGGAAAGTGAAAAAAGTAAAAGAAACATTTTCCTAAATAATCAAAAGGTTTTTTTTTCGAAAAGTTTGAAAAAACTTTTAATCACAATTTTTTGATCAAAATTAGAGGGCAATTGGAACAATCGGGTTTTGCCTTGATACGAGCAGTTTTGATAATCATTACATTTAAACTAGGTTTCAGAAAAAATTGCAATTTACAACAATCACTAACTTTGCGTAAAATATTTTTTGGGAAAAAATCCGTTTATCGCAGTTAAAAATTAAAATTCACCAAAAACTCTAAGTAAAACGAAAATTCATCTGCTGTGAAATCTGGAAAAAATTGAATTCTGGAGTTCGTTAATGACCATAACTCTAAGGGGAAATTTAATGCGCAAAATATTTTGTCCTATTGAATTGTAAGTGGCCAATGAACACTTTCAAACTGAACTGAGACAAGCAATTACTAATTGTAATTTGTCATAACAATATTTTTCCTTACTTACGCTGTAGGAAGATAAAATACAAACACGAAAGTTTATTAAATAGTAAAAAAAATTCGTTTGTTTCCAAGAATCTTTTAACATACCAAAATTTGCCCGGATACGAGCCGTTTCGTTGTTGATTACAATTCTAATAAGTTTCACAAAAATTGCGACTCGAGAAGTTCTTTCATTTTTGTAAAATTTGTATGGAAAAAAAATTAAATATAAATCACAGACCTATTAAAGCCTTAAATGCAAATAAAATTAATCCAAATTGAAATAGAGCAAAAAAATTTAAAACCAATTTTTTTTTTCATCTTTTCAAATTTTATCAATTTTTGGATACTTTTTGGATACAATAAAAGCTGCAATGGAAGAGTTCATGCAACGTTGTTCTGAAAAATTTGTTTTACACATTGTGTTTTATACGGCAATGCATGCTTCCAAAATATTGCATTAACTTAAAAATAACGTTTTGATTGTTAAACATCAAAAAATTTTCAGTTTTTATAAAAACAAGAAGTTTTATAGGCTTTTCTGCTTTTGGTTTCTCTGTGATAATCAATACAATGACTTTGCCAGTTTTGAAGAAATTTGGAAAAAGTCAACGTTTCTTTGACAGGAGCAAAAAGACATACACAACTGATCTGATCAAATAACATGATAATGACCAAACTGTTTATTGATTTTCTGTTTTTAATGAAAATTTAGATTTCTTTTTCCTCTGAAAATAAGTGTAACTAATCTGAATTGACCATTATGGTCCAAAATTCAAAGAAAAAACAGAGCGAGCAGTTACTTGTCGTATGAGAGAAAACCGATGGGGGTGTAGCGATTAGTATTTGTGCCCATTAGCATGGGTTTATTGATTTAATTGGGTGCGCATTCAAGCGAAAAGCAAATTAGACAACTTTTTCAAAAAATTTCGAAAACTACTTGTTTTGTGATCAAAAATAAAAGTTCATGTCACCTAACTAATAGAGTGCACGCTGATAAAAATTGAAATTTTGAGTAAACAAAATTTGAAACAGCGAGTCGTACTTTTAATCGACATAATCATAATGCTAATCGACACACATGCTAATAGGCCTGTCTCTAAGATCTGCTTATTAATGCCTCCTTTAAAAATAGGGGAGATTGTTAAGTAGACGAAATCTGCGAACTTTCGACCAAATATACTGCAGCAAAATAAGATTTTTCAATTAAAATTTTTTGGTGCTAATGTACTGTTTTTTCTTAAAGGATGTGAGTTTCGGATCGTTTCGTCCCACATTTAGTTAAATTTTGAAAAAAAAATATTTAAAAAAGAAGATTTGTTCTTTATACCTACATACATCGTAGCATTACGCATTTAGCCACAATAACATGAAAAACAACTATTATTAATACACACTTTGAAAAATGGGGAAAAGTGAAAAGCGTCGAAGCTTCTTCACTAAATACCATAGGGAGGTGGGAGAATGTTCAGTAGATATCAGAAAAAAAACGCGAAAATGTTTCTTTCTTTGCTGCTTGTAGCTTTGGCCCACAGCCTGCTGTAAAGATGCGGACGAGCCTGCAGATGTGGACTTCCTTGGTAGTTTTGGGGTCAGGGTGAACCCATACAGTCTCAGTGCATGCTATGACCCCATCTACAACTCAAACACTTATGTTAACACCCAGGTATATAAAATATCTCTCATCTTGTGCTTGTTTTATTGTATGAGAATGGGATGAATGAGTCCAATTTTAGTCAGATTGGTCTCCTTTCCTAGTTAGCACGGCCCAAATGCTGGAAATATTTGAAAATGGGTCAGAGGGGGGTGTGTTTTGATTATAGGCATTATGTGTTTTGATTATAGGTGTTTTGATTATGTATTTATTATGATTGTCATTATCACCAGAAGCAGATGGGGGGGCATCATTTTACCCCGTCTTCAAGGATTCGTTCGACCCCCTGACCACGAAAAGGGTCCCGTTTTGGTACAACTTCAAGACATCAATTTTTGGCAGGCAGACAGGGGCGGATCCAGGATTTTCTCGAGGGGAGCGAATTTTCAAACATTGAAATTGAAATGTTTGTCAACTTTTTTAGATCGACCAATAAATTGATTTTCCGAGCGCTACCAGAACACTATAAAAACCCTATTTTGACTGAGTTTTCCTCTCCGCAAGCAAACATATAAAAAGACAGGTCAAAAATGCCGTTTTGGGCACCTTTTGGAATTTTGTGACCAAAAAATTGAGTTTTTTTTTCGACCTGGGCTCTTGAAATTTAGTATATATTGGCGCCCAAAGCGCCTTGAGAAAAATTTTAGGGTTAGTCGCCTAAAATGGATGTCATTAAATAATGCCATAGAGGGGACACTTTGGTGGGCGAGGGGTCGACCCCTGAGGAGGGAGCGTGCCCAAAAACTATAGTTTTTATAGTAATTTGGGAGAGCTCCGAAAATCAATTTGGTGACCTAAAAAATGTTAGACAGAAATTATAGAAAAAGTGACCCCCCCCCCTCCTCGATTAAATCCTAGACCTGCCACAGTTTATTAGTATACTAATGAAAACACTACTTACCAATATTTCATTAATACATCACGGTCTTTAACAAGATCAGGTCAATTTGTTCAAAAAAAACTTTTAAGTAGCTGCTACTACTTGGATGACTTCTGAGCAAAAAAAAACAAACCATTGTCTTCAATGGGGTGTCACGACATCAATTGTAGGATAACAAAAAATTATCTGCTTTCATCACCCACACATGCAGGGGCGGATGCCCCCCCCCCCTCAGGGATTCGGCCCTCTGCCGACCCAAAGGGTCACCCTTTGTACTATTTTGGGATATCCATTTTGGGCTGGTGCCAATATATACTAACTTTTAGGGCGGGGGGGGGGGGGGTGAGTGCGCGCCGAAAAAACGCGATTTTTTGATGAAAATCTTCCAAAAAGTTCCTAAAAACGCTTTTTTTAACTGATTTATTTGCCTGCGGCGCAGAAAGTTTGGCCAAAAAAAAGGTCTTTTAGTGATTTGGGAGAGCTCGGAAAATCATTTTGGTCAACCTAAAAAAAGGACGACAAAATTTTTGAAAATTTTTGAAAATTAATTCCCCCACCCCCCCTCCCCCCTCGAGAAAACCCTAGATCCACCCACTGCACACATGGACAATAATAAATTAATCGAAGCCTCGAAAACTGTTCTGATACATCAAGAGAACATTTTGTTTGTGGAAGCTGCTTTAAGTCGTTTTCATTTCAGGGCTGTGAGTCTTCTGTCCAGGGATTCATCAGATACTGGGCGGGAACAATGGTCGCATTATATTTCCTTCAGTTCCTATTCCTCGTGAGTCTAATTTTTTGCAATTTTTTTTGATTTTTTTGCAACTTCTTGCATTTTTTTTTTCAATTTTTTGGTCGAATTTACAAGATTTTTTTTGTTCATTTTCAGCGTTGGCATCAAAAAATTTTTTGCCAAATTTCAATTAATTTTAGAATTTGACTGAACATTTCAATTAATTTTTTTAAATTGCTTCAGTAATTGCTAAAAGTAATTTGTTCAATTATGTTTTGTTTAGCTAATCTCGTTGATATTTGTGGTATTGATAAAACTCAAAGGAGATAAATTACAGTCCAAAGTGTTACCCAATTTGGTCTTTATGGAGAAAACAAGAACGCAAAGAGTCGAACCCAAGGACAGACCAGCGTCTCATGATCCGGAAACAGACCAGAGCTTCATTGCCGGCAGTCGAAACACTACTCTTATTTCGAACCAATCACGATCCGTCATCGTTGAAAGCGGCCGGAACACCAGGGCAAATAAAAACTCAAATTGGATGAACCATTTATAACAAAAAAAACCTACTGAAACTTTGAGAGCCCAAATATTTTTGATTGTTTAATTTTTAGTATAGCATTTTAAATTTAATAGAATCATCTTCAAAAATCAACAGACAAAAACCGAATAGCAGATTTCGGTTTCTCTTGTGGAACCAGATCTAAACTACATTTTATTATTGATTATAAATTAGATATTTTATCACTATAAAATATTTAATATTAACCAATCATGATCCAACTACCTCAGAACTTTCTAGCAGTACACTACCAGAAACTCCCACACTTGCTTCACAACATAGCATTTCAAATATTCCATCAGACTATCTAGATACAACTCCAACATCAGAGCAAATCAAAGAAAATCCTTTTAACCCCCAGACACCACCGAACGACCACCATATTGGACAACACACTCATATACTCAAGGTGAACCCAATTTAGTGAATGAACCAATAGATAATTCTTCTGATACAACATTATCATCCCTGCCAGAAACACTTTCACTTCCATCAACACCATCTATAAGTCAAATATCACCAACATTTTTCCCCTTAATTTCCCCACCAATCTTGACGCAAGAAAAATCATCGACAAATACCCCTCTACGGTTAGATTGGAACACTTTCGTAGCCCCTCCCCCATTATTCGGGCAACATCAAGAAAGTAGCCGACTCCACAATTGGGCACTAAATAGATTACAGTATAGACAAGATATTCACAAAGATATTCAAGAACACAAAATTCAAATACTTCAACAAAATAGTCTCCAATTAAAGTTTGAAATCACAGTCAGACTTAATAATATTGTTCAACACCCTTTTCCCCTAATCCCACCAAATATAACAGCTCAATCATTACCTCCCCCATATATAACAACTGAAGTCATGTATAAATACGACAGATATACAAAAAACACAATTGGATATATCACCTTTTATAACCCATACTCAGGATTATCAGACACATGTATATTTTAAAAATATTTACATTTCAACACCTCACTTTAAAAAAAAAAAAATTTTCCGAACAAAATACAAATCCATCTCCTCGCACAAGACCTCAGGATTTATTAGTAACACACTATGATTGTGAAAAAAACGAACAAAAAACGCTACACAAATATGCTATAAACCAAGTAACACAATGCGAATCAGAACCACAAGCTATAGAGAGCACAAACATAGTAGCAACATTATACTCAAAAGCCCGAGCAACAACACTTACAGGCTATAAATTTACAGCGACATTTTCCGAAAAGAAAGTACATTGTTCACAAGTTTCAAATGGAAATAAAAACCGACTTAATCACGAATCATTCTACCAAAGTAAAATAGAAAGACTTTTACATCTAAAACCCGACGATTGTAAAAACGAACTACTTAGATTAAACTTGACTAAAAATAAAAACTCAAACAGAAAAATAGTCAACTTTCAAGTCTTCACCGACTCTGTACATCAAGCAGAACTTGGAAGATATCAAGGACAAATTAAATTAGACGAAAGATACCCATACAACGGCGCACACGGACGACTAACTTATGATTTTCACGACAAACACTGGATACCACATATTGGATTAAATAATCCTTCAAACTGCAAAGCAGATACAAAAAACAAAGGGTACCAAGAATTAATGTTTTTTGACTGGAAAATACAACTCGAAAAAATACAACTCACACGAGATTTGAAAGATAACACTATAATTCATCAAGGAATCAGACTACCTTGCAAAAACGACCAATTTTTTTTGTGATCCTACAACAAGGACACAAGCAACAATTGTTTGGTTTCCCGAAGACACTTGTACAACATTTCAAGTAGCAAAAATCCACGCTAGAATAATTTAATTTCATGCAAAATATTTCATTGAGTCCATCCTATTTGAAAATGTCAACCCAAGTCAAAAAAACACCACAATATTAAATTCAGAAAACACGTTTTCAAATCTATCATGAAACAGAATTTGCATGTAAAGATAAAAATCCACTCCACAAAACACAATATTACAAAATACTTGTCGAATACGACGAAAGTTTCGATCTGACCACTGGAAAAATAAAATATAATCCCTATGCAACACATCAACCTATGAACGAAGGAACATCATACATCCCAGTAAATCTTCTTAAAAACGCAGGAAACTCTCGTGGAAAAGTAAAGCCACAAGACACTGAAAGCACACGATTACAAGAATTATCACAAATGAATAGTACATATTTTGGCGCAATACACTATGACATCCACTTAGATATGAAATTAGACTACACAATTAGTAGAATTTTTCAAGAAATGTCACTTTCCGAATTAGAAACACTACATCAACTATGTGAATTAGAAAGAACTCAGTTTCTACAATCACTCGCACTAGCAGTTCTAAAAATACCCTACGCAGGATTTTTATTATCCGGAAATATATCAAACTTCTTCGACTACGAAGGAAATATATTATGGTTTAATACTTGCACCAAAAAAGTATCACCATTATATGTTTTTGAAGATAAACGTTGTTACAAACGAATCCCGATATTCTATAACAATAAAGTTCCTTTTGTTGATACACTTTCAAGACGAACATATTTTTGGGATACCGCAGTCCCATGTGGATCAAAAAAACAGCCACAACGTCAAACAATTAAACCCCGACGAAGAAAAATACTACCTACTTACACCATACCCAACATTAATGCAACCATTGAAAAAGTTTTGGATGCACAAATCAAAGAATACAATACAAAACTATCTGCAAACCCGAACACATACGACGAATCAAACAATAATACAAATACATTACCTACATCACCACATTCACCAAATCTACATCATAACCATCCATTATCATTAGTTTCACGAAATCTTAGAAACTTAGCAATCACAAACCCTCCAAACTTAAGACCAAGTCACATACAAAGCCCCATTCAACATATAGTAACACAACACCCCCAAAATGACGACACATATAAACAACTCATTGAACAGCCCCATACCACTACTTTTCAATCTCAAAATAGTCATTTTTTCAGCCCACGATGAGCAGACAAATTGGATCACTCTATCGATCAAACTCCCACCCTGCCAACCTCCAAATCCAATCCCCATTATCCCACTTTTTGCTTTCCCGCCACCAGATTACCACAAACTAATACATCATCAGGCATGAATTCTGATACTAACTCAGACATCACAGTTTTTCAGACAATATCACAATTCAATAACTCCGATGTAGAAACTCCCAATGAATTCGCAGATTCCGAACCATCCCCTTCTACCTATATCAGACCAACTCTTCAACCTTCTCAAAACTCCCTTTTTGACCTATTCAACCTCAAAACCAATGTACATCTCCCTACACTCCTTCTCAAGTAACCCCAACCTACTCCCCGTTAGTTTATGAACGATCAATCAACAATTCCCCAGATAATATTCAAAATTCTGAAGAATTAGATAATTTTATAACACTCCATCAACAGTTACCATCTCCCCAAACTCTCACTATTTACCAACTATCATCAACAATAACATCATAAAATCCAGCAACACCTACACCAATTTTAGATTATACTCCTTCATTAGCTCAATCATCCACATCAACAGAAACAACCACTAGTACTAACCGAGCTTACAGAACCTTTAAACGTAAATTCCCAAATCACCCGTTCTCATCCAAACCGGGAACCGCCCGACAATACGTTAACCATCCAGACCACACCAATACTACAAATTATCTTCAAATAACCCTAAATTTATTTCCCCAATATACATTAAATCAATCCGACCCTAACCCTGAACCACATCTTTTTGTAGATGAACATGTGTTATTACCCACACTTCATTGGACCGCTTATTACAATTATACTAATCCCCTTGCGCTACCACTCCATAACACCACAAAAGATATTGAGAGAAATAAAAACGAATTGATTAGACTAACCACGTCATTAACATCCCGACAATTTACATACATAGGATTTTAAAAATTACTAAAAACATTCACTGCACCCCGAGCTAACGACTATTCAATTGAATATTATGATCCTAACATCATCAGATCTAATCAAGATCAATTTCTTGACGATGATCAATTTGCAAATCCACAATTAACAGAAAAATTTTTCATTAAAACATCCTACTTATTCACACTAAGCATACTAAATAAAAAGCATGACCACATTATTTCAGAAGCATTATCAGACATTCAAGCATACGAATCATTTCACAAAAAATTTCAAACATTTTCACCAAACTTTCATTTTCTTACACCAAAAGAACGTGATTTGCACTGTTCACACGACATCGTGTTGAGAACTACACAAACACACACCTACACTTATTATCGTTTTATCCAGAATCATTTTCATTTACACACACCATCACGACAACCTCACCACAGACTTCAATTCATAAATTCTAAATACACCTCACCGTTTTTCCTAAACTTCACAAATTGTATTAAAGATACTAACATTCAAGGCATCCTCCGAAATTATGACCCAATCACCCAGATGTATATATTCTGTCACCTCACCAAGACCTTCAACGAAGAAGAATCTCGACCCCTAGTAGCACCGTATGAATATATTCAACCTATAGAAATACCGGTTTTAGAATTCATCCACAACGCTAAATACAATCACAAAATTTACAATCTAAGTCAGAACACAACTCACGAATTTGCAGTAGGCACCGAAGAATTAAAAACCATAAAAGCACTTCAACTGCTTTGGCCACTGCTACAAACTAAAAACATCGTATGCATACTAGCAAAATTACTAACCACATCAGATGCTATTCACGATGTTTTCCCTAATGGCTTCTTTCCCGACAACTAAGGTAAATATGAATTTAATAATTTAAAACTAACTATTTCAAAATAAAACTAACCATTCTTTATAAATAATTTACATTTTTTTTAGTCTTCACACCACGATCACCTACAAACAAGAAAAAACAAATAAAAATACAAACTCTTTTAATCATAACAAAATCTATTAAACCTACAGCACTAAATAATGCAGTCAATTTCAATTTCAAATTAAGTAAATTAATCTATGGATTATTTCCCTAAACGCAGTAAAAAAAATACGATGAAAATCAATTTATAATTTCAGACCCCCACAAAGCAGTAAAATTCAAATTTAAAGTAATAAATTTATACAGAGAAGAAAGCAGTACTAAACTTCTGTATATCTTCTATTCACCCGTACAAGAATTCTATCTACAATCGCAAAGCTCGCCCACGAAGAATTGTTTAAAATAATTAATTCAAGTTTTAAAATTTCACTAACAAAAACTCAAACAAGCGATAACAAGTTTCCAACTTTCCTTTAACCCGGTTGGAATGGAATTATATAATAACCCAAACTAACCAACGAAGCTTACTAAAAACCATAAACCACAAACTAACAGCATGACTAAGAAAAGAAAACCTACGGAAAACCGGAGAAAACCAGCTTAAACCTGGATAAATTAGTCTTTTGAGAACTATTACCAAATCTAAATAATAAATAATAAAACACCAAGACAAACCCAAACCCAAAACAATTTGATTTTTGAGAAAATGACACAACCAAAGTAACCAAAAAAAACCAGAAATAATATAACATAAAACGATAGCACAAAACAGGACCCCTTAAAAAACCAGCATGAAATCATACTCCCACTCCTGGCCTAACCAACCAGAGAGGACGTCCTGAGCATGCTCTATAGCCGGCCTAACCCACCGTGCTACATCCACGCTTTGTGACCACACTATTTTTTTGACAAGAGGTACTCAAGGGTGAGTAACTCTTAAAAATAACTGAACTAAAACCAAAACGCTTTTGCGAAAACAATTAAACAAAATCATAACTAAAAAACTGAATTAACAAAACTTTATAAAATGTAAATCATAATATGCAGTATATAGATCATACATAACCACAAAGACGAACATCCAAAGACTAGACGACCCCATCACACTCAACCTACAGAATGGCTAAACACAACCAACATGACGCCTACAATCACGACTCAAAAAGGATTTAGAGTACGACTCGACTTCGCAGAAAAGGACTTCATTGAATCAGAAAATGACCACCTCGATGTTCAAGTATACGTACAGATCCGAGTTACAAGGCATTCCCTCCAAACACAATCTTCACGCCATTCCCAGACGAGAGTGATACTCAATCAGTTCTCCACCAAAGCAGAATAAGCAATCATAGCAAACCATCTTGAAATCAGATTGATTTCACCGGCGGTCGCAGTCATCGTCGAACAAACAGCTAACAACTTCATGTCGACGATTCTATCTTCCTGGAGCCTTCTTCTCCCAGAACAGAATAAGAAAATGATGTTCGCCAAATACCAACGATCATCATCCATCCTCCAATTACAGAAAGAAGATAAAAATCAAAAATTCTGTAAACCCCGGATGGGTGGAACCAGATCTAAACTACATTTTATTATTGGTTATAAATTAGATATTTTATCACTATAAAATATTTAATATTAACCAATCATGATCCATCTAACTAACAACCCACTTATTTGTAAGTGCTGAAATTACTTGTAATTTCAGCACCAGAGAGATTTGAATTTAACTTAGAAATTAGTTGCCTCTCCAAGAGAACTTCAGCAGCCGCAATAAACCAGTATACCCTAGATCTTTTGAGCCTAGCAGAGACTAGTTAAACACCCTGAGACTAGTAAGTATAAGAGTAAGATTAGGATCGGTATTAGACTAAGAAGTTGCACGAATCTATCCGGCCGAAAATAAGATAGCGTGACGAGCAGACGGTGTACCCTATCCGAAATTGCTCTATGAGTTAACCACATCGGTCCTAACTTATCTGGTGCGACCATAAGTCTCGAATAAGACCTTAATAGCTTAGAACTAACCAAAAATAGATTAGAAATTAGACGAAACATTTTCAAAATGTTATACGATAATAATTTAATTGAAATGTCTCTACGACTCAATAGATCAGAGCCGATATTCCGAACGATAATAGAACTACCCGGAATTGGAAGAAGACCCCGGACAAGAGACGACATACGACAAAGTAGAAACTAACCATTTAGTTTTATGATTGTACGGCAAAAGCCAACACAAACTTTTGTATTTAGAATCTTATTAGCAATGAATTTAGATTTTCATTTGCAAACATAAAATTTTGAATTAAACCTTCATGATCATTTCTAAGTTTTTTGGCACGCTTATAAAGTCTTACTAATACTTTTTGCTGTTAGTGTCCAAAACATAAAGATTCATTTCTGCTTTCTTGCTTGGCGATTGAAAAAAAATAGATTGAACTAAATGTTTAGATTATCTACAATATAAAACAAAATATTATTTCAAGATCCTCAGAATATGGAGATGAAAGGCGAAATGTCAATAAAAATAAGGAGCTGAAGTTGAGCTTCAAACCACAAAAGCGTAAAAATTATTGCTCCAAACCCCAAAATTTTACAATACTAAAAAAAGAACGGTGAAAATCTCATTTCGATATTTCCCGGAAGCTGTTCCATAGATAGACGAGATAAAATTAATACCAAACAGCTCAAAAATTAAAGTTCATAATCTTTTTAAAATTTTATAACAAACAGATGAATATCTTTTTTTGTCATTTTAGTGAAGTGCTGTTCACTAAGTTTTTTGACTAGCGAAAAAAAGTTTGCTTTTTTGGTACTTTTTTGGACTTCAGAGCAGCCATATTTGACTGATAAACCCTAAAAACAACTTATAATTAGCTATCGGTGCATATATATTAGTATTGAGAAGAGCGCGCACAAAAAAAACTGTGCAATTTTCTAGTCAAAACCTACCAAAAAGGGTCGAAAAGAAACTGATTTCTAAAAAATTGTTTGCTTAATAAATATCAAAAATCTCAAATTTTACATAATTGGATTTCAATAAAAATTCAAACCCAAAATCTGAAAAAGCACAAAAAAAGAATGGAAGAATATAAAAGTACGAGTTTTTTTTTCATTGATTCCAGATGTACAAATCTAGAAGAATGAGCATTTTAGAAATCTTTTTAAACCATTAGTTGGAAGCAAAAAACGTAAGCTTAAAACATCTCCGATGACGTTGAAGAAAAAAAAATGTTTTATCAGAAAAAATCAAAAGTAAAATTAAATTATACTTTCAGAAAAATCTTTTAAAAAAATTCAAGGATAGGGGATGAGCGGTTTAACGTCGAAGAGCAAATCAATGTTGATCCAGCATTTTGAAGCAATGTTCAAAAGTTAAATTTAAATCAGTCATTTCAGAGTCACCTTTGGTCTTAAAATTAAACAAAACTGCTCGCATCAAGACGAAGCCCAGAATGTTCCGAACATCTTTCCAGGTTTTTTGAGTAGTGTTTCTTTAAAAAACGTTGATGAAACTTTCAAAAAATAGCACACCTCATTTCAGTAAGGAACGATGACTAAAGCGGATTAAATTTCCGCTCACGCGTTAATAGCAAAAACTATCGCAAAACCCTATCTCTGAAAGCGCAAAAAGCCAGCACTGTTCCGTTAATGCTTTAGTACCGTTACAATACCTCTTCATCGCATACCTTCCCCTGCCCTCACCTCCTGAATGATATCTTTCGAAAACAAATACAAAAAAAAATAATTATTTTTGTTATTTTAAAATTTTTTTTAGTCACGTCATAGAAGTCGGAACAGTTTTTCTGCGCTTATTGTATGTTTTTGTTTTTGTCGGTCAAGCAAAAGTCGGATGGACGATGCCAACCATGGACCATTATTGTTGCTTGCTTGAGGGTGAGGAATCATTACCCAGCCACGAAGAAAAAACCAAAAAAAATGTTGTTGTTCCATTCATTCCATAGATAGCTGAATAACTTGTATTTTGGACTTTCCACTCGTGGATAAATTGTCTGTATTCGCAAATTTTTCGTCAAAGGTAGATTATAAGGGAACTTAAACCTCGTACCGTAGCCGTTCTTTTTTCACTGCTCATCCAAATTGGCTGTTTTAATCTGTATTTATAGGGGCTCAAATTTCTTGTTGTGGAAAGAACAGCAAAAAAGTATCTGGCCCGAGGGCCGGGAAACCTTCAGTTTTTCGGGAAACCTTTGGGAAATTTTTGACGAGAGGCTAATTTTTAGAAAATTTCGTCGACATTTTTTTTCAGGTCAGCCAATTTGGGTTCTTCGAGTTGAGAGGAAACAGTAGATGCCATATTTCGCTACTTTTTAAATCCCCAGCCAATTTTTTTTGAAAATAATAAAATTTCTGAAAAAAAACTGACCAAAAAGTTACTTTTTTTGGCGCTTCCTCTCCTCAAATTCAGTGTACTATGGTGCCAAAAATTATTTAGCAAAATTTTAGGTTTATCTCAGCCAAAAAATTCAGATGTAAAGGTTTCTCAAATATTTGCAAATTTTGGCAACCCAAATTGAGATGTTTGCCTAGTCATGACTGTTTTCTGCAACAAAAACAGAATCCAATAGGAAAATTTTTAACAGCGAGATTCTGCAATTTCAATGTAAACTCAATGCTACAAAAAATTCAATCGATCACTCAAAGTTAATCCAATTACATAGTTATAACTTTATTCTCAGTTATACAGTCATGTTCGCTTTTGCATGAACATTGGCTCAATTACTGTTTCTACAGCATCAAGTATGACTCTAATGTGTCCATCATCATGTCCCGCATGTTTGCCATCATGACCATCATCTCCTGCATGGACAAATTAGAGCCACTCTTCTGTCCCTGTTTGAACCATTCAGATGTCATTTCGTAAGCATCTCTAAAAAAAGAAAATCTTGATTCAAAAATCAGATCTCTATTTTGTCGGAAATTTTAAGTGTTAGCATATACTACTTCTCCAGAGCGGATCTAGGATTTTCTCGAAGGGGGGGGGGGTTGTTAAAAAATTTTCGAAATCAATATGGTCGACTTCAATTCAATTTGGTCGAATTTTTTTTAGGTCGATAAAATTGATTTTTTGAGCTCTCCCAGAGCACTAAAAAGTCCCTGTTTTGGCCTAATTTGCCGCGCCGCAGGCAAAATTTTGAAAAAAAAATGGCCAAAAAAGACGTTTTTAAGCACTTTTTGAACAATTTTGACCAAGGTGTGCGCTCCCCGCTCAAAATTAGTATATATTGGCGCAGAAGGCGCCTTTAGAAAACTTTAGGGTCCGTCATCAAAAATGGATATCTCAAAATAGTACAAAAGGGGACCCTTTGGGTCGGCAGGGGGTCGAATCACTGAGGAGGGGGCGTCCGCCCCCCCCCCCTAAATCTGCCCCTGTACTTCTCTATAATCGTTAACTACTTGCCGCCCTATGATACTCTTTTAGGAATAGTTTTATCAAAGACCTTTTTGTAATTTTTTGAGACGCGTCCCGGGTTGAAAAATCTCCATCAAAAAGTTCAAAAACTGAAAATTCCTAAGAATCCGCCCATGGAATTAAATATAACATATGTAATTAATATAATGAATTGACTCACTCTGGTTCGACGGTTGAGATGGTGTCGAGCATTTCGGTGTCTATTTTAGACCACATTGGATCCCTTATCATGTCCTGAAGATCAGAGGAAGATTAAGAGAAAAACTCGATAATAACTGGGACGACCCGCACTCAGTAAAAAGAGAAATTAATAGATTATAAGGGATTTTTTTTTTATTGTCAGTCTTCGTAAGTTTCAAGAAGAATAAATTATAATTGATTAAAAATGGATTATAATGTTACAATCTTTTAAAACAAAAAAAAAATTATAATTGATTATAATCGATTATAATCGATTATTTAAAAAAACCCACATGGTTATTTGAATTAAATTTGTTTGTTTGCAAAAAAAATCTGCAAAGGAAGCCCATTACAGGTAGGTATCGTTTTTTTCTTGTTTTTTCTTCACTCGAGCTAAGAAAAAATGAGACAAAAACGACATCAACCTCTAATTGGCTTCCTTTGCTGTATTTTTTGCAATTAAACCGATTCAATTCATATAAACTTTCGGGTTTTCTTATCATGTTAAATAATGTTTTGTTCACAAATAAAATACTCAATCAATCGTTATGTAAGACATTTGGTGTTCACTTGAAAAAAAATTGTAGTCTGATAGCCAGTTTACCTAATACTTGTAGACTTCTACAACAATTAAAGATTATTTGAATAAAAACTGTTGGATAACAGTCATTTTCGTTCGGTTTAATTTTATCAGCCGCATCAATAAGAACTATTGGTAATTTTCTGCGTCCTTATCAAAAACAATTAATTCAGTTTTGTTTGAAATGAGAACTTAAGCCGCACATTTAGAAGTGTGGTTTTTAGAGCATTATTTCAGATACGCATTTTGTTTAGCATAGAAAAATTTCGCATAGTATTTTTCTCAGTGCCAAAGTTAAACAATTAATTTTGGCACTTATAATTAATTAGAAATTTGATAAAACGAACATATTTAATTGTAAGTCAATCAATAACTTTTTCGTTTAGCTGAGTGAGGGTATAAAATTACATTTTAAAAATATGCTAGGTATTCTATATAAATAAACATTATATTTATAAAATTAACAAGATTGCTCGTATCAGGGGAAAGCATTGAATGTTCCGACTACCTTTTAAGGTCTATGAAACATTAATGACTTGAAAAAACCAAATGTAATAAAAGAAAACGAAATTTTTTTTTCAATTTGAAATTTCTTGTGAAACTCATCCCCCCCCCCCCCAAAGCCATTTAAAGTACTAAGTTTAAAACCTAGTAACAAATCAGTTATGGCAAATAAGTTTCGTTCAACCATCTTGGAACGATTTCTAAGACGGATTAAATCTCCAGTTCGGACCAACAAGACTGCCTCATATATCGGGACAAAACCCTGAATATTCTGACTGGCCTTTAATAGGTATTGATTAATTGGTGTGCCTGCAGTAAATCAATGTACCTGTAAATTACCATATCAGCTAATCGAATGATGAAAAAATTATTTAACCGGTTGCGTCATATTACGTAGTGACTGAGCTTAAAATTAACGCATAAACGAATCAAATTGAAAGAAATTTCATCCTTATTGAGTGCAATATTTCAATTATTTAGCGTTAGATTTTAATTTCAAACTATGCGCATACTTCCTAGCAAGTTTATTAGTTAGCCAATAACAAACATATTTAATTTGAAAACAAATTTGGAATTATTGATCAAGAAAATTCATTTTCAGTTTACTGATATGGTCTGTCCGTTTTCGGGTTGCTGATACGTGAAATATTGCCAAGCATAAAGAAATCGGGTTACGCCTCCAGAAACACAAACAGGGTTTTCACACCGCGCATAAATTAGTCAAGAGCATGGCAAAACTGATGAGTTTCAAACCTTCCAAACTTCACAAAAAATCAATGGTAAAATATATTTTTTTCTACATTTGAACTCAAGGAGTCGGTATCTTCAACAGGTTATAACTTTTTTTAAATAAAACCAATATTTCGATCGCAGAAAGTTGACTAGATAAGAAAAATCACCCCAAGTATAAATTTTCCACATTTCTTCTAAATCGGAACAATGATAATTGGATTAACCGATTTTAAAAGAAAATCCTATAAGTCAAAATCAAGAGACATGATGTAAAACAAAACTAGACTGGGTTATACCTGTACACATTGTTCGTCCGTGTGCATCTGCTTAGACTGGGACACCATGTCATAGTCCACTACTCTACACAACTCGGTCCCGTTCGAGGAGTTCACTGAAACACAAACGAATAGCTAACTCAAAATTAGCTCCAGTATTTAACATTCTTGCCACCGGTGCTGATATTACAACAGCGCAATGATACCAGAGAGCAATAACCAGCAGTGCTGACCAGCAGCAGACTAAGGGGGTTGGAGGTTAAAATTATTTGGTTCCAAATAATTGCAATCAATCTGAACTTTGCGAAATTTGAATTATTGCAATAAATGATTGCTGTTCTCGCTAAAACTCTTAGTGAGAAAAACCATGGTCGTAAGTAATGAATTTTCTGGTGAACAAAGAACAGTGTATGAAAAAATACGAAAAAACTGAAAGATCCAAGCAAAGTTCACAAGTTCTAAGGCGATGTTTCAAAATTGATTTATTAATGCTTTCACTTTGCGTATTTTATGACATTGAATTCTGCTTTTAAATACCAAAATTTGTAAAATTTATGTCAGTTCGATATTTTTTGTAGTCTTGTAATTTCCGATAATTACGGTTAATTTACGCATGAAATGAAATGTTGCCAATCAACCAGCTACACGAAACCAGAACCGAAACGAGGCAGAAATAATTGCTAACACCAAGTTAAATGCAATTATTTGATGTCAAGTTTTGAAAAAGACATCTGGAAAAGCAATAAATCATTTGGAACAATCCTACTGCAAAAAAAAACACAAACCGGTAAAAGTGTACAAAAAACTCAAGCAGTGCCTGTATGAACAAGAATATTGCTATTTTAAATGAGTGAGCAGAAAATTTTCTGCTTTAGAAATCTTGAATATGATTTTTCTTGCAGGCTAGCAACCAATTTTAGGCTAAAAAACTCAATTCATCAGCTCCAGCAAGTCTTTTGTCACAAGAGTTAACAATACACCAATCATATTTTTCACTTTTTGAATTATTACTTGCAATAATTGATCGCACGCTATCTATATGTGTTAATACAAAAAAAATGATTGTGCCGAATAATTTTTGGGCTAGCAATCAAATTGATTGCACCGAACACTTTCAAAGTTTGCAATTAGTTTTGGGCTTGCCATTAATTGATTGCAGGGGCGGATCTAAGATTTTCTCGAAGGGAGGAGGCGGCAAAATTTCTTTTGTCGGCCTTATTTACGTCGAACCAAATTGATTTTCCGAGCTCTCACAAAGCATTAAAAAAACATATATTTGAAAAAACAGTCCAAAAAAGACGCTTTTAGGCAGTTTTTGAAAAATTTTGACATACAAATCGCGTTTTTTTGGCGCGCACTTCCCACACAAGTTTAGTGAATTTTGGAATTTTGGCGCTTTTGGAAAATTATTAGTGTCCGCCACCAAAAATGGATGTCTCAAAATAGTACAAAGGGGAGACCCTTTGGGTCGGCAGGGGGTCGAATCCCTGTGATCTTTATACTGTCTCTAAATTCAAATTCAATTCCGCCGCCACCCCTCGCCCCTCCCCATAAATCCACCCCTGATTGAGTCAAGGTTTCACAAACTTCTTGAAATTTATACACAATTTTAAGCTATCGGAGAGCCCTCAGTCGAAAGTCGACCCTAAAATTAGAGCAATGTTTTATTATAATATGCAAACAGGCAAAACGAAGCTTCAAACACAACTAAATTTGTTCGAAAGAACGTCTTAAAACATCAATCAAGATAAAAGTTTTCAGACAACTGCTGAGCTCGTAATCAAAGTTCAAACTTCACTTAGTGTTTTATAAGTGATCTTCGCGGCACGTGGGAACCAGATAATCAAATTCAACTCTGATTCGGAATACAAACATGTCACTTAAGATTAAAACGATTTGTTAAGTTTTGTTAAAAACGAATTGTTAAGATTTTCTAAGATAAAGTTGATATAAAGTTGATCTTAAAAGCGAGTTAATTGATAGAAGTTAACGCATCGCATTCAGGTGAAGAATTTTTCAGATTTGGTGCAAAACCCGCATCCAAGTTTAGGCGTATAATCAATTATAACGGATTATTATGATGATTTTTTGACAATTATAATTAATTATAATCAGGGGCGGATCTAGGATTTTCTCGAGGGGGGGGGGGGGGGGGGGGGTTGGGGGTTAGAGCGGATTTTTTTTTCGAATTTTTTTTAGGTCGACCGAAATGATCTTTCGGGCTCTTTTTCCTTCCCCCCCCCCCACCTGTAAAATTTTATCAGTAAAAATTATGTTCACTTTGTTCAATTCTTATGAAAATTGACTTAGGTTATGACAAACATATTTGGTCTTCATAATCAACCTTTTAAAACCACTCGTTAGACCATAAAATTCATGTTCGTGTGAGGTGGGGGGAAAAGAAAAAGAGCCATCTTTCGAGCTCTCCCTAAGCACGGTTTATCCCTGTTTTGGCAAAATTTTTGGCAAAATTTTAAGTCGACCGAAAACTTTTTTTAGTTCCACCGAAATGATCTTTCGAGCTCTCCCTAAGCACGATTTAGTCCGTTTTGGCAAAATGTTCTGCGCCTCAGGCAAAATTTTGAAAAAAAAACAGTCCAAAAAGTCGTTTTTGAGCACTTTTTGAAAATTTTGACCAAAAAATCGCTTTTTTTTCGCCGCGCGCTCCCCCCTCAAATTCAGTATTTATTGGCGCCAAAGGCACCTTTAAAAAATTTTTAAGGTCGGTCGGCCAAAAAAGGATTTCTTAAAAAGCACCAAAGAGGGGACACTTTGGGTCGGCAGGGGGTCGAATCCCTGAGGGGGGGGGCTTCCGCCCCCGCCCCATAAATCAGCCCCTGATTATAATTGTATCGAAAAATGGACGAATAAATAATCGATTATACTGGATTATAATTAATTATAATTTGATCTTAAAAAGAGAGATTATAATCGATTTTTAATTGATTAAAATCGATTGTTTCTCAATTTTAGTAAGACTGGTACTAAAATCGTAATATAATTGATTATTAACGCTTGAAACTGGATGCGGGAAGTCATATGAGAAAAATGAATTTGAACAAAACTAAAACTGAATTTATCAGATAAGAACCAGCAATCAAATGAAAAAAAAATTCGTAGGTGATTCGTTAAAAAGGACAACTCACAACCAGCGATAATTCAAAGGCAAACACCGGCGAGAAACGAACACTTGTTCCGGTGTGCTTACAAAAGGCACGATTGGTATTGTGCGCCTGATCAGAGAATCCTTTATTTTAACAAATTCAATTATATTTCAATATCCTTTAACACAATTTGATTCAAAGTCATTTCAACTTTTTCCAGTTTAATCCAAATTTTACATATTATTGCCTACCCGCATCCAAGTTTAGGCGTAAATAATCGATTATAACGGAATTTTATGATGATTTTTTGACAATCATAATTAATTATAATTACCAAAATTAGGTATTTAAAGGGTTTATAATTGATTATATTCGTGATATTTTCCAAGAGATAATAATCTCTTATAATCGATTATAATTGATTATAGTTTTTTTTAAAAACCCTTAGAATCAATTTTAATCTATTATAATCTCTTATTTTGCCAAAATTTTACCAATTCAAATTTATATTCGAATTATATCTTATGGGTTATTTTTTGTGTCCATAAGAAACTCTCTAAAAGAGAGATCTCTTGAACACTTTGGTTCATCTGAACACAAAGTTTTACCTCGAAACAAAAATTTCATAGAGATCCTTTCATATTAGTGGAAAGATTCCCGCGGTAGATGAAAAACAAATCTTCCGAATCAATCATGAAACTAAATCAATTTGCTGATGTTTTGGTGGTTAAAAACTTGAAAAATGCATCACAACAACTCTAATGGGGAAGAAATGGAAAAAAAACCTTATAAATTTCATTGATTGGAAAACTTTGAAAACATTTTTCTCATTTTTCATAGGAACCAACGTCTACAAAAAGCATAAAATATAAGCAATTTAGATGCAAATTCGAAGACAAAATGGACAAACAAAAGGGATTATAATCAATTATAATCGATTATAATGGATTTTTGTGCAAAACTAATGAATTAGAAATTTGAATAAAAATAATGGATTATAATCAATTATAATTGATTATAATTGTATCAAAAAATGGACGAATAAATATTCAATTATAATCGATTAAAAAAGATTATAATTAATTAAAATTTAATTTTAAAAAGAGGAACTATAATCGATTATTAATTGATTAAAATCGATTGTTTCTCAATTTTAGTAAGACTGGTACTAAAATCGTAATATAATCGATTATTAACGCTTGAAACTGGATGCGGGTATAAAAAAGGCTACTTAATTAACTCTTCTTAAGAGCTTAGCTGCAGTTCATGCAGTTTATGCTCACGCAGTAAGCAGTAATTTAATGTCATGCTTTAACACGCAAAAATTAGTCTTCGTTTTTCAAAAAATTATTTTTCGATTACTTGATTAACCGAACTGAAAAGATCACCTATAAATTAGAACAATTATTATTCTAAAGTATTTAAAGATTTGCGACAAATTCGCGCAGAAACATTTTTTTCTGGGCCACCACAGATTTCAAGATTTTGATTTTTTAAAGAAATTTAATTGATAGGCCGATGGAAGACTTTAATTTATTTTCAAAATTTTCAATCAGCAATACTCGATGCACTATGGTATTCCTGGCATTGCAACCAGAAATTGCTATGCATATGTACGCTTTCCTCCTTACAAAACTGAAAAAAAAAACATGCAATCAAAGTTAAAAGGTTGCTTATTTTGATTTCGAACTTTTAATTTCGCTAAATTGAGTAAGTTTTTGTTTGGCTTTCAGTTGCAAAAAACGTCTAGCTTTGTGTTTTTATTTCACCAAGGTCTCCTTTTGAGTAATTTTTTGTTGTTCCGACTATTTGAAAAATTGTGAGCAACTTTGTTCTGAAGAGTGTTTTAGTTTTTTTTTTTCTTTTTCCACGCAAATTTAAGTACCGTAAAAAATCATCGGAAAGTGTCGAGTGCGAGTGATATATGATGCTGAAACCCTTTCATTTGCGATTTGAATGACATTATGAGAAAAACCGTTACAAATTTTTGATATTTTTGTCTATTTTGAGAGGATATCCTGGTTGTTCCAACAGTTGAAAATGCGGAGGATTTTAGTTTTCAGTGTGTTTAAGTTTTTTTTCATTAGTTTTTCTTTGTTTTCCACGTAAAATCAGGTAGCAGAAAAGAATCATCGGAATTGGCCGAGTAATTTATATCATAAAGAAACCTATTCAGTCGTGATATGAACGACATTAAAAAATTTCAAAAAATGTCCCAGTGTTGAGAAAAACTGGTCTGATAATTTTTAGATTTAGTCTTATTTTGAGCAAGTAACGCGATAGAGGAACGCTCATTATATGAGAATTTACTGTTTTTAGACTACGAGCACACAAAAACTTCATTTTACTGTCAAGACAGCTAGTTTTTGATGTTTCATTTAGCACTTGATTGATGAAAAACGGTTTAAAAAGAAAAATGAAAATTTTGTGCAAAAATTCAGAAAATTTATTTTTAGTAAGTTTTTTTTTCAGCTGCTTTTGTTCAATTTTTTGGAAATAAATGTCGGTAATCATGCCTAAATTACTATTTTTCTATGCCATCGTATAGTTTTTGAATCACACCACCGACTGAAATGATACTAGTTTGAAGAAACAAACTTTTAAATATTTTTTATGAATATGATCGGAACATTCTTTGCTACTTGCACAGCAACCGGCTATCCTTGTTTTACTTAGCATTTGGTATTTTTCAGGGAAATAAATTGTAAAATGTTAATTTGTTTGAAGTTTAAACCTTCCAAACTCAAATTGCCTTATGGATCTATTGATTTAAACTAATTTCCCCTGCCGGTATTTTTTCTTCTGAAAAAGCTTTTATTGCCTAAGTATTCTTAATTTGACAAAAAAATTTCGTGATTTATTTTTAAAGTCCAAAATTTCCAAATTTGGCTAGCCTTAAACTCTTTTTTTGTTTCTTAGTAAGTTTGCATGCAGAGATTATGGAATCACAATAAGTCTTTTGATGATATCTGCTTTGAACACGCGTTTTATCGGTTCTGCTATGGAATGCATTATTTAACTTACTTGGTTTGTAGAATGCGACCATGCTCATGAGCTCAAATCCTGCATACTCCATAGACATATTGGCAAACTGAGTCCCGTTCTTGTTCAGCATCTGCAGCTGGACCAAAGTTGAGTTCAAGAAGGCTTTCAGGACTCCACACTGTTCATTCTTCATAGTCGTGTTTACGTAGTCATAGGCGAGATTAGTAATGGATGAAAAGCCGAGTTCGCTGTCGGAGTTACACTGCAAAACATGTTCGTAATCTGCAGTCGGGTACACGGAGCAGATTACGTAATTAGAAGTGCGATTGGCCAACGAGCGCATTGCGTAGTCTTCGTTCAAAAACGAGTAAGCTATTACACTTGGTTTCACAGCATGCTCGGAGGAATTGAGTTTCAGAAAGAACCCAGTTTCGGTACTGAGGAACAGTTCCACTCCTGAAGAGTTCTGCAGCGGAATTTCGTGGAAGGGGTAATTGGTGATGTTATAGAGAAAGCAGCTTGGCTCACTCATGTTTCCGGCAAGTTTCCAGAATCCGGACTCATTTATGGAGAAGTTGGCAGTCTCTCTGTATTTGTAGTCCTCGCAGGAATAATCAACATCCAGCATGTAGTCAATGGCCCCAGACTTAGTTTGGCTGAAACAATTGACAGTTTAAAACAAATAAAAAGAGTAAATCGTAGTCATGGAACTGCAAGTTTTAAAGATAACAGTTTGCAAAACTTTCGAGACAAAATCGTGTAATTTTCTGAGATAAAATTTGCAAATTCCGCAAAATTCCGGTTTTGCAAATTCCGCAAAATTCTGATTTAAAAACAACCAAAACTCCGATAGCTAAAGCAAGGAAAATTCTGAGATGAATCGCAGACTAAACAGCAAAAAAAAATTGGCAAAACTTTGAGATGAATTGGTTAGAGCCAACTAACTAGTTGATATGCTGAGCCAAAAATCCCTGATCATTGGGAAGTTCAAGTTCCATGTCGTAACAGAAGTTGACAGGCACTTCATCTTCAGAGGCGGCACCCATTTGAGTCATAACAGCCGAGTTTATGAAATCCTGAGATCCCTCGGAACAAGTGATCAAATCCATCACTCCCGAATAGAACTTCTCGACTTCTTGTCCAAATTCAGAAGAAATCGTTTGAATCTGGTAATCGTTTATCAATGACAAGTCTTCGAAAATGTCTGAGTTTATGTCCAAACTCATTGTTCTTCCAAGAGCTGGGATTGTTACGTAAAATTTCGTCTTCATCAACATCATTACGTCATTACTGCTGCGTTCTCTCTCGCTGTCAACTTGGGTCTGGATACCGAACTCTCCGAAAGGGGATTCCAAGAGATCTATTTTGACTGACATAATTTTGGGACTGTTCATCAGTTCCGCAAATCCGTTTTCACCAAAGTCGAGAGTAAAGTTCAGTTTGAAGATGTGTGGGATCTCGAAGACCTGATAGACGTTGGAAATGGGTTCCAAGAGAGTCTCCTCATCCACGAAGTACACAGGACGCGTGCAACTGGACCACGAGAAGACTTCGTTACCGTTTACTTCATCTCTAAAATACAAAAAATATATTCAATCTAGAAAAAGGAATAAAAATAGTGTTGATTTTCAAAGGAATAAAATCGCAAAATTCGATA